CATATCATCGGAAAGGACACGAATGTCTCGATTGGGTCTAAATCTGGACTTAAGTGACAATCGGAGTGAAGGCCAGAGCCGTAAGAAACTATCGATTGGTTTGGTCGGCAACGGAGGACTGTGTGGAACGCCTCAAGAGATCGACGTTTCCGTTGCTCTTGAAAAACAGGGGTATTATTAGATATGCCATACATTTTAGACACCATTACCTCTTATATGACATGATTTGAAAGTGGATTATATTTGTGTGAAATGACTGTTCAGTTGGTTTCACGGATACATCAGTAGAACAGACGCCGAGAACGTGTTGCGGACGACCCGAGTGGGCAGTTATCTCGTGAGACACTGTCTCAGCTCTAAACACCACTACTTAGTGTCACTCAAGTAAGTGATCCACTCATTGGTCACTCAGTCGATGACTTACTAATTGATTGATTCATTGAATCGGTGCAAAGGTGTGTCCGAGGGTTTATGCACATCAAGATTGTGGAACAGAGTGACGGCACCTATACTTTCGGCACTTCCAGCATGTCTTTCAACAGTATCCCACATATTGTCAACCATTACTGCATTAATCGGTTGCCAATTGTGGGCGCAGAACACATGTCGTTATTATATCCAGTTATCGATCAATTGCTCTAAAACTCAAACCCAACACATATATAGAAACCGAATATTTTGAGATATAATTATATAATTCTTATACAAAATGACATTTCAATATAGAATTGACATATTTTTTCATTCATTCATTACTCGTCGCATTGATTATAACATGAATTTAGCACAGATATGGACCCATAGTCTGGTCCGGCCTTCTCTCATCTCAACAAGGAATCGATCGCATGTGATGGTCATCGATGGTAGACATGCCTCCGATGCCACTCAACGTACAGTATATACAGTATCTATTATGTGATGTCAACCCAATAAACCTTTAGATATGTTAATACTTTTGAATAATCTAAACCCAATTTATAGTGATTTTAGTCATTATTTCGGTACAACTAATGAACTTTCAGTAACTCTTAATTGAAATATCATTTAATGTTTATAACAGATAATTACAGTAATAATAGATGACTGATGTTAGGGCTCTACCGGTATATTTATATTTTGTTACATAAATAGAATATAATATAGATCAATAGTGATACAGAGTATTATTTCTAATTTAATTCAATTCTATGGACATAAATATTACAGTATTTATCTCGCAGACATACAAACTGCTATTAAATATCATATGATACTGAATGTCATTATGATACCGTACAATATTTTAACAAATTGTGTACATTTGTTATGTTTTGGTCAATATTGTTGTCATTATAACCGGTATATTAAGTTATTTAGAATATTTCCATTTATATCATGATTTGTAAATACGGTATATTATAATAAAAATATTGAACATTACGATTAAAGTGAATGCATTTACCATTTTTATTGATTTTAATAATTTCTTTGTATGAATTTTCGGTACAGTAGTCAACTACGGTATAAAGATTATGATGACTATCAATAACAATTGAGACAAATAAATACTTTTGTTACTATACACCAATCAATTGATCTGTCCTCGCTATTAATTTATACACTTTCTTATAGTTCACTTCAACAAGTTATGTGGTATTCATTTAGAACTAGCGATCAACTCATTTATAAAAGAATATTCTGTGAAAACGGATATGCAATGGTATCATATCATATGAACTTAGTAGTCAAAGTAGGTACAGTAGTAAGTATTGTATTGAAAATTGATTTAATATAATGTTTAAATTTTAGATCTAATAATCAGTAATGCAGTAGATGATACTAACGGTAATAATAAGTTACAAACAATTTGAAAATAGTACGGTAATTAAGTTATTCACCTAAAGAAGTTAGAATAGTTAGGAATACTATATTTGAATTTACCTTGACAAAAATAGCAACAATCAATGCAATGATATCGTAAGACAGTGGCTTACTTATGAATTCCATTGTAAAATACCGGTAGAAATTTAAAAAAGGTAATATAATGAGTGCAATGATTGCATTTTATTAGTTTTATAAACTTGAGTACATATTAATATATACATATTGGCAGTTTATAGTAAAAGTAAAATGAAACAAATATTGATAAATATATATCATATTAGAAAACCGTTACTATAATGACTGAAAATAATGAATTAAATTAAAGATGAAATCCATGTTAGATGACCCGCGAAATGGTTGCGATTTTCAGATTCAATTATACCATATATTGTATAGAAACTGACAATATATTTGATTTGATAGGAAATGCGAGCGTTTCAATGGTAATCGTATGGCGAGAAGCCAGCGCTTGAACGCAAGACTATTTAGTATTGGTTTGCTTTTCTGAAACTATTGAGTGCTTTTCTAGAAGTGTTGCGAAATATAAAGCATAAAATTGGGATCTCATGAGTCGGGTGTCTGAAAGATAGCGTTTTGCGAGGCCTTGCAATCAATGAGGGAATCGTTGGGAACTGTAATCTCGAATTGCGATAAGAAATCGATGCATTCGTCTCTATTCGCAAAACATAACTCTTGTATTAAGAACGAGACGGGAATTGTGGGCCGATATCTGAGTGTTAGATGTCGTACATTAGTTAGCAAAACATCAGCGATATGTTTATCATATCATTATTTGGTTCACAATCATCGCTATTGTGTGTCATATACTTACGGATCGATTCAAACAACAAAACTCAAAATAATAATAAAGTATTTTTTAGGAAAGGAGTTTAGAGTGATATCGAAATCATTGTAATAAACAACAAATACATACGATTTGACGATCGCTTTAAACGCTTGTTTGCGTTGTCTTAAGACGAACCAATCCATTAGAAAAGCGGACATTTTAGGCGCGGATTGGTATTGACTCATAAGCTTATGATAATTACTCAAATTCCATGCACTGCGGACTCGGAGTGCATGTGATATTACCTCATCGTTCAGATCATCTCTCGATAGCTTGCGGACTAAGATTTGCAAATCTGTACACAAATGCAACACATTATAAACATCATGTCATCAAATCATCAAATCATTGCATATCAATACATACCTGACTTATTATCCATTAAAATGTAATATAAGATCAGATAAGCGGTAAATTCGCGTCGATTAACGCTATCAATGCTCTCATAGAGAACTTTGAGTTGACTCTGGCATTGATTGAACTCTTCCCGATCGCCCTTTTCTAATGCAATCCTAGCGTGAGTTTCATACACTTCAACAGTAAACGAATCTCTGATACACTGAACAGTTATGTCTTGTCGGATAGACTTCATTTGACCGCAAGCATAGTGATAGTCCTGGTTCTGACTCCAATGGCTTTTAACCATTTCTAGAGAGCGCTTCAGTATATGAATGGGTCTAACAGTGGAAGGATCGGGAGCTGAAGTTAGCCTAAGATACTCTTTCTCTAAGTCAAGACAAGTGCCCACAATAGCACTCGAATAATCATAAGACATGTCTTCTGACATATTGTTAAGATAGGGGTTCGAGTCGACATAATAACTCTTTTTGGGCTGACTCTCCGCTTCAAAGCGGGCCTTCCGTAGAGCCATCCTTTCGGGAGAGATATTCATTTGTTTTATTGGTTCGCTTGTGTTCGCAAACTGATTATTATTATTATTATTTTTATTCTTTCGGTTTCTATTTTTCCTCTTCTTCTTAGGCATCGGATTATTAGTGGCCAACACTTCGGCTTTGAATCGATTTTGTGGTTTTGAGTTGAAAGCAATGAAATCAGAGTTGGGACTCATGTCCACCGAAGACATCATATTATTGCTAAATATTTCAGAATAAATACAATGAGAAACAATAGTTATTTCGATAATAAAGACAAACCTTTCAACGAACTTCTTCTGCTTTTTCCTTTTGTCTCGATTCCTATCGTTTGGCGAAAGCGAATGGGAGTCATAAAAGTCGGGTGATATGGATCGCGACCGACTCCTACTCCTAGGCCTTCGCTTTCGATCCAATTCTCTATTTCTGTTCATTCTATCCCTTTCTGACACCGATTGAGAGATTGGTTTGTCATTAAAATTACTCTTATTGTTAGGAGAGGCGAGTTGTGGCAACGGTTCCGACAACCAGTCCTTCGTGAAGAGGACGCCCTCGTGATGTGCTTTCGTGAGCTTTCCCTTGAGAATGATTTCAATCCTATCCTTATCTATTTCGTTAATACACGCAGAAAAGGCTCGATTCACGTACTCCTTGAGGCTTTCGGGCCACTGATCCTGAGGTGTTTCGCCCGAACCCTCACTCGACTTCTTGTCGGCTTTGTTCGCATTGCTATTCCTCTGGTCGTGTCTCTTGTGATCCGAGTCATTGTCGGACTCTTTATGTGAGGATTTCGTGGCAAATGAGTTATTAATCGGTTTGGTTATAGTAGGCGTCGGTTTCGAGAGTTGGAAACGGATTCCAGGGGTCGACGAACTCACGGCACCCACAACTGGTGGGACAGACTCTACACTAACTCCCGGCTCACTCTTCAGACTCCACTGTTTGGACTCATTGTGGAGTGGATTGGCTGCAGAACTAAGAGGGGTTATGGGATTCAGTGAAGGGTTGGTTGCCTTCATTGAGTTCAAGGTTTGGTTCGATCCTAAGGGGGAAGTGATGACAGAATTGCTATTTTGGGATCCAATTTGACCATTAGATCCATAGATTGGCGGCATTTGAGGGATTTGTGATACGAAAGAGTTGTTCCACTGATTGGAGGGGACGGGAGGGGCGTTGAAGTTGTAGTAATTGCGTCCGTATTGAGTACTGTATTGAAAGCAATAGTCATATGATTATAATTACCATTAAATGCAATCCAATAGAAAGCATTGAAATGCTTACCCATAGGGCGAAGACTGTGTCCACGGGTTGTAGAAGATCTGCGTCTGAGGCGACACCGAGAGAGTGGGTACAGCGGGTCCCCTCTGAGGTACCACTTCTGCCAACGATTGTCTCGCTTTAGCCCACGCCTCGGGTTCACCACTACTCTGACCACTCATCGGAGTTACCATTAGTTAGTGATATCTCGATATACCTGAAAACTATACACACATTGGTGTCAATACAACGCACACCCATTCACTCACTACTACTCACCGAAAGTGTTAATCAAAACCACAATTCAATCAAATTTATATTTATTTCAATTAATGTCACAAATAATGTGTTATTATATCAAACAAATCGATTATAATTGCAATTAAATCAACAAAAACTCATTCACTGTTTCACTGATTGTATGCAAATGTCTGACACAATGACTGCCAAACACTCACTCAATGGCTGACACCACACAACACATCAATGATGTGAGCATTTCATTGGCAAACGTCACTCACTGTAGTGACTGCACTGCACAACCACTTCACTGCACATCATATTCTGGAAATTCTGTGAGAATTGTCACATTCAGTGCTAATATTCATTTATTATTTATTTAATAGTCTTTAATCAATAAATGTTTTCATAATATGCATACAGTTATGGATAGAAAGAGTGTCCAAGTATTTAATCCTTGTCTATTAGGATGTAAACTATACTCATATCTACAGAATGTATAGATTCCATAGAGAATCTGACAAGTTCTCGTAGTAGTCGTAGTGGACAGGTAATTGATAGTTTGCCGGTATTCATAAGACAGGCCTTTACATAGTGTATTTGTTTAATAACTTTCATCAAAGTTTTGTACCGAATTTGTAAATGATCAACATTATAATACAGTATCAATAATTCATTAGAAAATTCCAACTTCATAGTGTTTTAAAAGCATTGCTATGTACTGTACAGTACACTAATTTTTAAGTAATTTGTAACTTGACTGACTACTGTATAAGTTTAACAAAGTTTCAAAGTAGTTGTAGATGTGAATAAAATATAATAATAAGTGAATAAAAGTTTATGCCGTAATAAAAAAATCTAATCAGACACATCTTATCAATAACAATAAGTACAGTATTTACTGACCGTTAGCTATTAGTCAGAGATCAGATGTGTCTAACAGGTTTTACAATTAGGTGTAAATATTTTGTATTACGGTTAGAAACTTTAAAACAATACATAATAGTTACTGTATTGTGAAGCAGTGATACAGTCAACTAAATTACACTGTAAAAATTACTGGCTATTAAAATGGCTATAGCCATGAGTATTACTTAAAAAGTTTTTCATACATATTACCATTGATTACCTGTCACTTCAAGAATCGAAACGCAAGAGCTATGGTACTGGAGGTCGCACTAAACACTCAGACACTGCACCTCCCGGGCATTGTCCTGGATGTTTGAGACACCTAACCCAACCTGACCAATCAATACAATGTTTATCTCATACAGTACTCCTTGTCCACAAATTAGATAACAACTGAATTGGAACTCAAAAATAAATGCACTTTATTTTCAAATGATTAACAATTTAAGAATAAATTAGAAATTTATTAAAATATCAAAACATATAATAAATGAATAATACATAGCCTAAGGGGTAATGTTATAATTCATTGTGTGATGTGTGTTGACTGGAGTGGGGCTGAGAGGGATGTGTTTGAGCTGATGGTTGCTTCTTATCATTAGCTGGCATTTCATTCAACTCTTGGATCATATGTTTGATCTCATTGTCGTAGTCCTCCCACTCGGACACTATACGTCTGGCGGCCGTCAGTTTCGGCTCTTTAGTCTTCGGGTTATTGCAGAGGTCTATGGTTTTGGCCGTTCCTTTCGACTGGTCGTCACACCACGTCTCGCACCACAACCACTCCTGAGGTAATGATTTGATGCTTACCTGCAATGAACACAAATATTAACTCCAAAAGAGTACTGCATATCATGTAATACCTGATGAATCATATTATTGGGTAAATCCTGATCTAAATTTGATAGACTGTTGGGGTCTTGGCTGAGACCCTGGTATTGACCTCTAAGTCTGTCTCCGGCAGCAATTCGTCTGAACTTCTGGAGGTCGACCACATAGAGAGCGCTGATGTGATACCTCCTCCCGTGCAGATGTGTCGCCCAATAACCACTTTTCCAGAACCGAAAGCCTTCCATATCCTTACGACTGTCACAGAAGGGAGTGTAGCCATAAGGCGCTCCCTCTAAGTCAAGATCCCTAAGCTCTTTGAGGTCAGCCCTCACCACTTGGTCCGCGTCAACGAATATAATTTTCTTGACGTCGAGAGGGAAGAGGACGTCGAGGAACAGTATTTTATAGCCCCAAATGATGCGCTGTTTGTCTGTCTGCTGGTGCAGCCAACGCGGCCACTTGTACTGCACCAGAGAGTACTCGAAGTTATACTTTTTGGCCATAAATGGCAACACATTCTTAAAAGAAGGCGACAAATAGTTCTTAAGGAACCAGAACTTGACCGGAGTTTTCGTGTTCTTCAAAACACTCAAAATCATGATTCGCATCAATCGTTCGTAGAGATGACCCGTCGCTAAAGAAAACACATTAATCCGATCCGACTCTTCATCTGCGGTCACATTCTTGTTGTCCTTCTTTTTGGTCGGACTCGAAGACCACGTAAAAGAGTTCCAAATACTGTTCATGTCATCCAAGTCGTCGTCGTCCGCGTCATAAAGCAGTTCTTCGTTTTGTTTTCCCGGCTTTTTGTTGACACGAATTTTGATAACATTGCTCTTAAAGCTCGATATGAGTGCCACTGCTTGTGAAGAGCTGGGACTCGAGTCGGTCCCCTCGTGGCTCACAATACTGTAAATGTCAGCACTTCTCCCTTGTCTTAGGTTAAGGTTCCAAAGGCCGGGGTTTGCCTTCAATTGAAAATAGCCTAAGTTTGCCATAACTATGGTGTCGACCACAACAGGAGTACTATTAGTGCCTAAAGTGAACTGAAGTCCTCGCGGAGGGTTTCCCGAGGACTGCTCGAAGCAATGGCCCTCCAGAAGCAAATACTCCAATTCGAATTCAGCAGTAATACCGGTGCCGTCGACCCGATCTAAATGAATGTTGTCTAAGTCGTAGAGTGATTGCGTGGACTCAACCAACCAGTTGTCGGGAACAGCCATTCCTAGAGTGAGCAGTGGAGACGTGGGAACTGATGAAAAGTAGGCCCTATTCTGCACTAATTCGTCGTTATCTGAAAATTTTGGTTCGCTTTCGATCACAAATCTATAAAAGCTTTTGAGAGGCATTTCCGAGTGTTTGTCCACACAATTGAAAAAGATTTGTACTTTTGAATTGAATATTTGGTACAATGTCTCTAAAATTGGGGTCAATTTCTGTGCACCTCTGATCAAATCAAATATAATAAAAATCATTTAAAACATATTCTTGAAAACTAACAATATATACACTTCAAGACATACCTCGTTAGCGGATCCATAATAGCAACCAATTGGATGGATGGCTCATCGGGTCTAATGGGCTCTAAGTTAACGACACTGTGTTTATCATCAGAATATCTGACTTCATGTCTGGCTTTTGATTGAGGGAAAGACAATAGAATGGAACTGATCCTAAACACCAATTCACTGCATTTGCTCGGATCAGCCCTTTCTTCTTCACTCAATTCCGAGAGTATTTTATCGGCAAAACTATTTGTCGCGAATTTCTCTATTAGACTAAAGTCGTCCTCAACGAAGGGCTCGTTTTCTGGGATTTTGATTACTTTTCCGTTGATAACAATCGCCGAATCTTTTTCTCCAATTCCAAGAGATCTAAGACTAAAGCATTTGTGAGCTTTAAATGTTTTACTTTCTTCTGACAAATGGCTGTATTTTTCTTTAAATATCGCGATGTAGTCCTCATTCATCACTTGAACAGCATTTTCATAGACTTTTGAATCATCCGTCAACACATCATATGATTGCAAAGAAATGAGAAATTTGTTGAGAAATTGTAACAAATGGTTGGAACGAGAGATCGACAGAATGGCTGATTCGATGACTTTAGAAACTGAACCAAAAGTATTGTGAATAACCGATAATCTCATGGAAAGACTGTTGGCTCTTAAGTGTGAAACGGCTGACAGCAACATATCTCTGCTGCGTTTGCTTTGATAATTAGATGCCAACCAAACGGTCACTGAATTACATTTGTCTGAATTAGAAGTGATATAATTGAGAGACGAAGCGATAGTGTTTTGTAAGTCCTTTAAACTCAAACTCTCATAATTGTCTACTTTATCAGCTTCCAGAGCTTTACCACTAAAATCAATATATTTGTTAACATTAGGAGTGTCGTCTATATTGAGTATCAAACGGTTGAGTCGAGGCATTACACTCTTCTGAGTCATGAGCCATTCGAGGACATCATCGGAATCACTCAACTCTGCCCTATAAATGGCTTTTTGAATGGCATTCGTTTGTTTCATAATCTCTGTCAACACCACTTCTTCAAACAGTTCTGCATTCAGATGAGTCTCTTTCAAGACGACACCATTGAGGAGTGCTTTAATAGGGGCCCCAATGCCAGTCCTATGTATGAAGTCCCAGGCCAGCTTCCGGCCCGTGTCGTAATCAGAATCCGAACCAAATATTAGGTCTAAATCTTCGTTCTTGTATTTAGCTTTGAATTGATTGATCACATCTTCGGGCGTGAGATCTCTTTGAACGCCTTTATCGGCGCCAACCGTTGCAATCACATCAGTCAAGAAGGAGAGGCCTTCGTATGGAGTCTTGTCTTGACTGATAAAGTTGAACGCTTCCAGACATGCGAGGCCTGCGTCCTGACGGCCGTCAACTGACGTGTCGGGAGAGACAGCGAACACAATGCCTATACGGACGGGCGCTTTGTGTACATAGAAGGACTCGGCTAACTTTAGGATGTCGTGCGCCTCCTTCTTACTCGGATCCAACACCAGAACCAAATGAAATATGTTTTTGCGGACATTCCTCAACATTCCTGGATATGTGGGCCGAAGCATATCCTGAAGACTCGACGGCCAGTTTCGGTAGATTTTGTCGTTTTCCACATCATTCACGTATAGCACCGCTCCGTCCCTTATATCGATCTGAAAGTCTTGTTTATCGCTATTTATATCCAATTTAATCAATTTCTTAAGTCTTTGGTCTTCATCGCCAACCAATCGATGCAAACCTTCTGTTAGTTTAAACTCTTTTCTGATCACATCGAGAAGTGTGAAGACATCGATGGTGTCGACGTCATAGTAGAGGCCGTTAACAAAGAGCGCCACATCACTGGTCCCTAAATTGAGTGTTTGTGAAAACATTTGTTGGTTTTTTTCGATCTCTTTTTTCAAGTCGTTGTCCACTTTTATTCGGATCAGATTTCGAGCTTCTGTTGGAAAGTTTTGTGCGATTTCTCGCAAAACTTTTAAAGTATTATTCTTATCGGAAGTCAACACCTTTTTGGCGGCTTGTAAACTGATTTCCTGTAATTCCCATACTTTCAAAGTGGCGATCTCTTTGCCCCTATCCATCAAATGTGTCTGGAATTCATCCAATTTATCGCTTTTCTCACTAAAGGATTGCTTCAGTTTAGAGAAGACAAAGCCCTCCAACTCGTCGGGCCTTTGGTTCTCCTCTTCCTTAAGATTGCCGTCAGAAGTGGCCTCACCTTTGACTCGAGTGTCGTCCTGTGCCTTATATTCTGTACTCTTGATGGCCAGCTCTACGCCATAACCAGAGAGACTGGTTTTGCGATCACTTTCATACCTCAGGTAATGTCTGATATAATACTTAATTAAACCCTTTTCAGCCGATTGTTTCAAATAATGGTGCAGTTCTTGGAATGTATTCGTTCCGATTTGGCCGTAAAGAATAGCCGTTATCTGTGGCTCAGTGGACCTCCGATTGGGGAACATGTGATCACTTTTGTAAATGTTTGGATGACTTAAAGACAAGTCATTCTTCAAAGCATTGCTCAGCGCTTCCAGTGATGTCTTAGTATTGATTAGATGACAACTGAATGGAGAAAAGCCATCAACCGATACACTCGTGTCCATGGGTTGACTCAACTCGACGAAAGACTCGCACTCTTGAAGAGAGGTTTGTTGTAAAACCAATTGATTAGACATTTGGTTAAACATGACAACAGTTGGCGAATGGGTTCGCAATGAGAGCGAGAACTTGACCACAGAAGACATGGACCGGGAGGCCAGCAACTGGTCCGACAGCCGCAGAATGAGCTCATACTGGGATCGCGCGGACAGGGATGTGATGGACTGAGACTGCAATGAGTGGTGAATCAAATCGATGTACAGCCAAATGAGTTCTTCGTTCTCTTGAGCCAAGAGTTCGGCGAACTCTACATAGAGAGGGCTTTCCAACCAATTGGACGACAATCCGATGGACACCGACTTCTGGTTAGACACACCGTTGCCTGAGACTACACCGATCCATACGATTGATAGCAATACTAGTAATTTCGTCAACATTTTGTCTGCACTTTCATTGCAATTCAATGGATATACTGCGAAATGTGTGAATCAAACAAAACAACTCAACAATTAACACATAAATCAATACAAACTCTGTTTTGCCGGCATTTCACTCACTGTTAATACACGTAATGTTTCACTGATTATACAACAAATGCTCGTCACGTGACACCTATTGTCCACACATTGCGTTACATATTTAGCCCCCAATACTAACCATTGGCAATGATTGCATACATCTATGCAATGAAGTCATGAATTACTAAAACAACCCAAACATACAGTTGTTGTGAATATGGGCATTGAATTCAAACACACAATCAGATGTTGTTATAAAATACGTTAAAAATGAACACATTTTATAAATTTTCAACTATTTCTCTATGATTTCATTAATTTCTCATTTAATTAGCGTTGAGTAATTCACTTTCATTTATACTTATATCACATTCACTGCAAAGTATGCTCAAATAGTGACACACATTTGTAAACTCAATGAACTGTTAATTGATTTTGATCACTGAACAATCCGTAGGAGTGGTGGACATCTCGGGTGACCATCGCTGACACGAATACAATGTGTGATGATATGGAGACTGTTTTGCAAGAGTTGGCGGACATCAGTCCGGAACTGCCATATAAACGACAACTGTGTCTGAAATGCGGGTAAAATTGATTTGAATGAAATTGTTTGAAAAGATAATGAATGGTTAACTTTGATGGTATTGTGCAGCCGTCCGGTGCCGGTCTGTTGGTGTCCGCACTTATCCGCTGATCCCATTGAGACGAAGAACAGAGTTATTATTCTTCAACATCCGAATGAAGAGAAACGCTGCTTACGAACGGCGAAGATATTGGAGTTGAGTCTGTCTTGTGGTCAATGTCTTGTGATTAAAG